AACATATAAGTGCTTAGTGTATTTACTTGTAAGATTTTAGAGATGATTTTACTCTTTTTAATTTTTGTCTCTTTTAAAAGTATTAAATCAACTATTTATCTTTTAATTATTATATTATATTAAAATTTATTTTTATATTCAAAATATCATATTAATATATATTTATATTAAATAAATAATTACTTCAATATAAAATTTTATTATTTAAAACTAAAAATCAAAATCAAAACTTGACAGATATAAACACACATAATTGTGTTTTTTAAATATATATATATTTAGATATTAACAAATATATCAGTAATATAAAATATTGAATTTAAAATATATTTTAGAGAGGCAACTATAATATTGAATTTAAAATCTAGCATTAGGTTGAACAGCACGCGATCTGCTAACAAAAAACAGACGATATTACTTTTGACAGCGCATAATTTATATTAAAATAATACAAATATAACACATGATACAGTCTCACACAAGATATGCAACAGTTGATTTTAACATATGACATGTTATTTGTAATAAAAATATGTGTTATTTTTATATTTTACGATGTTGATTTGAAACTGAAATCAACAAGGCAACGCTCCTCGTATTATAGAATTGTTTATATAATATATTTTTGAAATATTCATTAAAAACTTTATCATAACATATTGGGTGGACACACTTATAAATTATATGGGCTTTATTCTTTCTTAATTTTAAACTGAAATTAATATTATTTACCATAAACAAATTTCAATAAAAATATATTATTTTTTTTTTTACAAAATATCACATCAAAATACTAATTAAACAAAACTAAAACCTAACATTCAATTTCAAATTAATTTTAAATCACAATCAAATAAATCATAATTGTTTTGAGTTTTTTGTTTTTAATTTTTTAATATATTCTCAAATATACTTTTAATTATATTTTTAATAAAAATATATATTTTTCACTCCACTTAAATTATTTCAATGATTTTTATTGTATTTCATGAAAATTATATTATATGGGTGAATGGATTTGTTTAAAGTGAAAAAAAAAAAAAAAAATCTTAAATACCTTTGAATTTAATGGATTTAAAGTGTATAGTGTGATATGATAGTATTTTAATAAATACTTCTTTTGTTCCATAAATTTGGTCTCTTTTTTTCATACAAAGTTTAAAAAATATTGTATTAGATGATTAATTAGTTTAATTAATTTATATAATATTTATAATGTATTGTTGTTTTAATTATTTTTTATTTAGTGATATATTAAAATAAAATTAAAAATAATTTATTTTTTTATGCCGAATATTTTATAGTACTATTTTAACATAATTTTTTTAAAAAATTATTATATCATTAATAAAATAGTAATAATGTAAAAAAAAAATTAATTTTATTAATCTAAATATAATTAAACAATAAAAAATAATGTGACTACAAAGTTTTTAATTTTAATAATATTTTATAAAAAAAATTATTCCAAAAGTAAATACGAATAATAAAATTTAAAAATGAATTTAGCTATTGATAGCGATAAATATGATAGATGAGTTATGAATTTATTTATTCTCATAAAATTTTAATCACATTTCTTAATAATATTCTCTCCTTCCATCAAATTTAATCTCATTTTTTGTAAATATGCAAAAGAATTGAGTCAAATTTATCTAGCGATGAAGTAATACATTATTTTTCTTACAAAATAATACAATTAAATATTTTTAATAATATTTTTACATTTCTCAATAAAAAATAATTAAAAAAATTCTAAAAGTTTGGGACACATGGTACTTAGGTATGTATATATATATAATATATTATATATGTTTTATTTTTGTAATTTATATTGAATTTATTGTAATATTTCAATTTTGTAGTATTTTTATAATTTATAATATTTTGTATTCTACAAAATGATACCAATATTGAATATATTTTATCAATTTGAAATTTAAAATATACAAATACAAATATTATATAATTCTATTGAACAAATCAATATTAGTAAATTTAATTTAATTTATTAAATAAAATATAATTATAAATTTTAAAGCAATTAAATAATATAAAATTATATTAAACAATAAATATATTTAGTTTATAATTAATTATACATACATAATTAATAATAAGATATTAATATAAAATAAAAGACAAGATAATTTGAATAGCATAGAACAAAATACATATAATTTAAACAATATTTAAAAATAACTCTTCGAACAAAATACAAATTTGATATTAAAATTAAAACTAAATTTAATTAAATAATAAATAATATAAAGTTTTTTCCATAATTTTTTAATAAATCAAAATATTGACAAATAATAATATAATATAATATAATATAATATAGTATAATAATTAATACTACAAAGTAAAATTATAATTAAAAAATAATATATATATAATATAAAAATAAAAATTTATTAAATAATTAGGATGAGTATCTTTGTTGTGAATATAAAATAGAAGAGAATATCTTCACTGACGCGATAGAAAAAAAAAAAAAAAAGTAAAATAGATAAGAAAAAATAATAAAGATACCCAAAAGCGGATATCTCCGTTACGGATGGTCTAAAACTATACTTTTGGCCGGAGAAAACTGTAAATATTCAAAAACCTCCCTTTTTCAATGTAGCAATGCCTAGAGTTTAAAGCAAACAGCATTATCGGTAATATGGTCAAATTGTAATGATTATCCATTTTTTTAAAATGATTTGTATTCATTTACTTGCATTTAATGTTGCTTTGGTAATCATAACACTATTTAGGAATATTAAAATAAAAATAACTACTATTAGTTTAAATAATACTCCCTCCTTCTACGAACTAATGTCCTATTGGGATGTCCAACAACTATTTGTCTTATTTTTTTTTTAAACAAAAATTTTATATTTTTATCCTTCATTTATTTATTCTTTTAATCTCTACCATACACTTAAGGGCAAATTTGTCAATTCATAACAAAAAGACAATCACTTAAAAAATTGTGCAAATATACTTTAAGACAATAGAAATTGGACGAAGGGAGTAATAACAACAATCAATTTTGTTAGATGTGTTTACTTTTTTGTGATGGTTTTGTTTTGAGTTTATATTTTTTTAATTTTAAATTGTAATTTAAATAATATTTAAACATGATATTTTATAAAAATAAATAATATTATTTTATTATACAATATATAACATGAGTAACTTGATTTTGGTTTCACATAAAAATATCAAACATATCCTAATTTTTAGATTTTAATTTTTGTTTGTTTGAACGGTAATTTAATGCAATATTTTATAATATATATTTAAAACATTTCATGAAGAATATATGATAAAAAAAAAAATTGAACCCAAACTTCCATTAAATAAAGTACTATTTTTTATTTTTGTAAAAGGTAAATTTATTTCAAAAGTCAAAAAATAAATGCACACTCAATATAACTTTGGCCTAAGTTTATCCATTTATATTTTTACTTTGTTACCATTTACTATTTTTTTTTTTAAAAAAATATATTAGATTTAATACTTATTTACAAAATTACCAAATTCAATAGTCATTTCATTTTTAAATATTTTAAAAACACAAAAATTAAGCTCAAGGTAGTTTGATTTGGTATTTATAAGAAGTAACAATAATATATTTGAAATTTGAAATTTGATTTTTATTTTTCTACCATATATATTCATAATTTTTTATTTTTTTTTATTTTATAGAAATATATTACTCTTATCTTATTTATAATGTTTGAATAGTCTAAACAAAAAATACAAAATTAAATTCAAGGTGAACTAAACTCACAATTTTTTTATTAAATTTAAAATATTTTAATATTTGATTTGATATTATATAATTATCGAATAATGCCAATGTTTTTAATATATATATACAGTAGAGTTTCAATTTTATTTATATATAGACATATTTAAAAAAAATTTACATTATTGATTAATAATACTTTTTTCTTTTTTCAAAATTCCAATCAAATGATAATCCCTCCGCTGTATACACGGTATTTTATGAGGGGTGTAATTAATAAATAATTAAAAATATATTAGTGAAAATAATTATCCTATAATATAAATAATTATAAATTAAGATTAAAATAACTAATTAGTTTAATTAAAATTAAAAAAATTAAAAATTAAAAATTTTAAAATGAGATTAAAATGTATAATCATTTTTAAAAAAGGAAAATGACATAGAATGTGGGACGGACAGAAATGAAAATGCGGACATGATACGTGAGATGGAGGGAGTATTATTTATCTTAAAATGCTACATCCAATATTATTCTTTTACTATTTTTCAAATTTTGAGTCAAACATTTCTGTATAAATTAAATTTAAAATTTGATTTTTTTTAATTAAAATAATTTGATACAATATTTTTGTAATAGAAAAAAGTTATATACTCAATTTTTTTAGAAAAATATAATTCAAATACTAAAAACCACTATATAAAAACTGAAAGAATAAACCCCCCATTTAACCCTCCTCTTTCATTTACTTAGGGTGTGTTTGTTTGGGGGTTTGGATTTTGGATTGGGATTTGAATAGTAAAAATTTTGAATTTGAATAGTTGTATGATGTGATATAAATAGAGTTTGATGTGATGTTTTGAATGTAAAATTGATTTTTAGTATAATATAAAAAATGAAAAATAGGTGTTTGATTTGATGTTTTTGGGGGAAAAAAATTGGATGAATAGTGGAAATCCTCCAAAATCCTTCAAACAAACACACCCTTGCTATATTAAATTTAAAAATAAACCAATTAATAATAGTAATAAATTTCACAATTTATACATAAATATAATTTGTAACAAGTCCAGTATAGTCATGCAAACTCCGGGACCACAAAACCAAATAGATCCCAACCGTTCACTGTTTTGACATCAACGATCACAATTCATATTCATTTTCTAAACCAAAAAATCTCCCAAAGATTTCTATCAACGATGTCCTTCATCTTCTTCAATACACCTTTCAACCCACCCTCCCCCTTCCCTCCCTTCTCTCTCTAACCCGTCTACTTCTCTCTCTAAAAATGCCCCCATAATCCTACCCAACCCGCACGCCCCACTGGTTAATATCACTTTCCAACTTTTCTTCCTCCATTAATTTTCTTTCCTTTTGATCTGTACAGTGCTCTGCTCCTCTCTTTAATGGCTGTCCCCACGCCTACTTTCTCCCCTCCATTTTAGCAATTTCCTTTTACTTATTACTATTCTCTCTCTCTCTCTCTCTCTCTCTCTGGTCGGTGTGGAATTTTCATATTTTCTCAATCATTCCCAATTTTCGATTTCTTCCTTGTTCTATTCCCCCTTTTGTTGATTTTGGCACCTCCTGAAATAAATAAATAAAAATCTCTGCAAATACAATCTGAAAATTTCCTCTTCAGATTTTGCTTCTCGATGCAGAAATCTCACTCCGATTGAAAATTTCATAAGCGAAACTCATTTTGATTCAACTGCCACCAACAAATCTTTTCTCCTTCGACCATTCCGTTCCAGGGAGGATCACACCGCCATTAACCCAACCACTTTCCAGGTCCTCTTTTGCTGTAAAACAGACGACGATTAGATTAACCAAAAAAAAAAAGCAGTTGATTCCTTGACAATCCCCCAGGGCTACAGTTGCTTTGAACTTATCCTTTGGCAGCAATTCTTTCCCCGGATGCTCCATAAAGTATCCCTCGCTGCTTCTTCTCTGCCAAATTCAGGTATATATATATGTGTGTGTATGTTTGTATTTATATCATTTCTTGCCCTGTTGCAATCAATAGTTCTTTCCTTCATAGACAAGAATGTGATAAATGATTTTAGAGTCAATCAGCTAATTGTATAAGTATATTATATATATATATATATATATATATTGGTAATTTTTGTTGAGGGTGAATTCACTGCAATTCTTTTTCCAGTTATTACGATTTTGTTGTTCAGAATTGGAATAATCTTCCCTTCAGATATCATTGATTTCTCCATACTGTTTCTAAGGTGTTTTTTCTTGCCATTGAAGGAAATAGATAATCCTTGCAATGACAAAGAGATCACTGCAGCATTCTCTGCGGCAGCAGCCGGGCTGTATGTGGAGTTTGATGAGCATTTTTGACTTCCGGCAGGGCCGATCTTCAGCGAAATTGCTCTCCGATCGCAGGCGAGAAAGAAAGCATGGTAAGAGCTCGATACAAATTGGTTGTTGCTATCTTTCGATCGATTGTTTCGAGTTTTCGGAAACTGTGTTCTATATTTAGCTTGAGGTGTTTTGGTTATTTGAGCATTGTTTTATGTGTTTCTTATAGCAATCAGACATTCGAGTAGCCAAAAGGTTATCCCCAATTGGATCGAGAATCTTGATTATACAACGGTATGTTTGATGCGATTTTGCGATGTTGTAGTTAGTGTTTGATTTGACCATTTGTTGTTGCATTGTTCGAATTTAACATGTAAGTAATGTAGGATGGCGAGAATGATGCAGCCGATGCTGCGAGTTCGAGTGTGAAGGAACTTATGGCCGTTGAGATGATCAACGAGAACGGATTTTCATCGAATGGTCGCAAAACCAATTCTGAGCGAGCTGGCTTTGAATCCGAAAAAGGTGTAAAAAACAAGCGAAACCGAAGAAACAGAGACCACATCAAGTCTAGCAGCGATCTGGATGTCGCCGAGTTGAATGGCGCCGTGTGGTCGGCCGAAAACGTCGATGCAGTTCCAAAGCAAAACGCGACGAACAATCTTGATCTGGAAGCAGCGATAGAAGAGCTGGTGCGGATCAGTCGGAGAAACACTCGTACGCCAGATGGCGGTGATGGCGACAGTCCTCCCGACGTGGAAAACCTCGTTGCGGCGTTAAAACTCGTTATGCACTCCCGGGAAGAAAGGGACGAGCTTTGCGCTGAGGATTTCATGGACGCGGTACAGACATTGAGCGAGAACAAGGGCTTGTTCTTGAAGCTTCTACGGGATCAGAACTCGGCCCTCGTCAAGCATTTCCAGAAATTGGTCGATACCCGTGGAGGAGACGACGACCAAAAGCTTAGATCCGTTCCTAAACACAACGAATTACGCAGCCGCAGGCAGTGGAATTTCTTTCGAAGGAGCAAGTCGGTCGAGAGCTTGGAATGGAACAAGGATTATACGTCACCGGGTAGAATTGTTGTCTTGAAGCCGAGCCGAGAAACAGCACACAGACACAGCCCTGTTCGTGGCTTGTCTGCTTCGTCGGATTATGATAAGGAGAATGGAAACCGGATTCCGTCTTACTTCTCTTTCACTAATTTCAAACAAAAGCTACGGAATGCAATGGGGAAGGAGAGGCGCGTCGTTTCTTCCGATGGACAGAGCCTTAGATCGTCTCCTAGCCACAAAAACGGGAAAAGCTCGCCGGGATGGAGTTCGCCGAATAGAAACCATTTCTACACCGAAAGATTCACCCTTTTTTCGCCTAGCTTTAAATTGAAAGAGAGAAGCTCGGAGTCTCCCCGATTGTCGCGACTCGGGGGATCTGATATCCACACTGAGGCTAAGAAGCATCTTTCCGAATCCCTCAGTCGGATCATTTCGTTTCATGACCAGAACCGATGTCATAGTCCTAGGAAAACCGATGACGACATCTTTATAACTCCTGAGATGAGATTCTCTCCACTTGGAAAAGCTTGGAGTAGCGCTGGCCGGACTTTGCAAGAAAAGATTGACGATTGTTCGAGTTTGAGGAAGCGTTGCAGCTCCTCGGATGAAGAACAGTCTCCGGTAAAAGATGGGTTGAATTCTTCTCCGGAACTTGAATGCTCCGTGGAAGATGATAGAGCTCCCGAAGGTAAATTCCTTCTATTTTTTGCTCGATAATTGTAGATTCATCAGAAATTTCGGTAGAGTTTAACCAAATTTGAAAATGCTTCTCTGACAGCTTCGGAGATTGAAGAAGTTGCAGAATCAAGATGCCGGGAGGATAAAAAGATCATCGATGATTCATTCGCTGTGGAAACCCGAGAAGGAGACGTAGAAAGTGAAGAAAGTACTTCCCATGAATCAGTAAGTTTTCGATTATCTTCATTACAGCGTGCTCTGTTGTTTCGGGATTTTCTTCCTTGCGAGTATACTTACTGCATTTTGTATTTTTCGTGTGATTATCCGAAGGATTCGATTATAGAAGTTCCAATATTGTCCCATCCGCCGGCGTCGCCGTCGTGCTCATCGGAAAGCAGGGAAGTCGAAGAAGATTCTTACCCTGTCATCGACAAAACTGAGAGGCCGAGTCCCGTGTCTGTTCTCTACCCATTGTTCGCAGACGACGACCTTAGCCCTGCGAGCACCGTATCTCAGCCAGGTTAATTATAGTACATGTTTACAATTTTACGACGTTTTTTTTTTTCTCTAAAATGAGGATCTTTTATGTTCAGTAGAAAAAGAACTCCAACCTCTGCGGATCTGCTTCGAAGAGCAACCTTGTCCGATCGAGTCGGGACTTTGCATGAGAATCTCTTCGGAGGACGAGGAATCGGCATTCGAATACGTTGAAGCCGTGTTGCTCGGCTCGGGTTTGAACTGGGACGAGTATCTTACGCGGTGGGTGTCTTCTTATGACATCCTCGACTCGTCTCTATTCGATGAAGTGGCGTTATTTTCAAGCCGGCCTTGTAATGACCAGAAGCTCCTCTTCGACTGTGCCAACGAGGCGTTGGAGGAGGTCTGCGAGGAATACTTTGGACAGTTTTCCGGCGTATTCGACGGTAAACGAAATATTAGACCCGTCCCGAGAGGGATGGATCTGATTCGGGAGACGTGGAAGCTCATCGATGGCTGCACGCTTCGAAACCCGAAGCGTTGTTCGCTCGAGCAGCTGATCGAAATGGACATGGGCGTGCCCGGGAATTGGATGAAACTTCGATCGGACGTCGAGGTTGTTGGGTTCGTCGTAACGGAGGCTACGATCGATGAGTTGGTCGAGGACTTTGTGCTGAGCCTCGTAGACGAGGTTTTGCTTCCCGATCTCGAAGTGGAATCCGATGCCAGTTAGGGAATTGTAGAGCGATAACTAACCGGATCTAACCCGACCCGACCCAGCTCGTTCGGCTTGGCTCGTCGTCTCGACTCGGCTCGACTCGGCTCGTATGTATGTACGTAGAAGCTACAATGACATGTTATGTTATGTAGGAGAATGATGGTTTGGTGGCTCTAACCTTACCTTATGGGAAAAAGAAGAAGCTTTTGCTCTTGTTGTAATTGTATTTGTTTGTTTGTGTGTGTATACGTACGTACACTAACAGAAATGCTACGAGGTTGTACGGATGAGTTTGGCCGCCCAGTTATATTCTAATTATGAATGTTCTTTTTGTGTAATTTATTTGTAATCTTCTACCCTCTCTCCTGGGTCAATAAATGGTGTATTTGATATGACCCATAACTATATTATTATTATAGGTGACATTCAATTAAGTACTCCCTCCGGCCCAAATAAGGTGCAATATTTGTTTTTAGCACGAATTTTTAGGTATGTAGTATTAAAGTATGATAATTTAGAAATTAGGTGATGTGTAGGATAAAAATTAAATATAATTAATTATTTTCTATTTTGGAAATGTTGCAAGATGTTTGGGACATAAAAAAAAAAAAAATATTGCAGCGTATTTGGAACGGAGGAAATATGATACTGTGTTTTATTGTAATATAGTGATTTTTACCTTTGAACTCTCAATGTCTCCTATCTCTCCCTTCATTGTACTCTCTCTCTCTTTTAAAATAAAATACAAACACACAAATATATATATATATATACACATACGGTTTTATATATATAAAGTATATCTATATCTATATATATTACATATCATATATTTCACACACCCTATACATATATAGATATATTTTATCTTATATAGTTATTATATATTTGATTATATTATATAATACAGTACGGGGTTTCGCTGAAGAAGTGTATATAAAGATAATGTATTTTTTTTGTTATTTTTGTTGTTGTATATTTTTTTTTAGGTTACTCGAAAGGTTGCGAAGTTTCTGGTAAGTTTATTTATTTTCTTTTAACCATGATTAATATCGCAAAATTTGAATTTCTCCCACTGGAAATTATCGGAAGTAATTATATGCCGTGGGTTATGGATATGGATGTCGAGATGCACCTCGAATCCATGGTGCTTTCGAAAACAATCATTAGTGAAAATGAATATACAAATCAAGAACGTGCAAAGGCAATGATTTTCTCGCGTCATCATATTGACGAAGCCCTGGAAATGGAATATTTAATGGTGAAAGATCCATTCGAATTATGGACAAATTTGAAAGATCAGTTTGACCACTTGAAGTCGGTCATATTGTCAAAAGCGAAACACGCATGGTAACACTTGCGTTTGCAAGATTTTGAAACATTTGCCGATTATAATTCTATGATGTTTAAAATCACGTCCCAGTTAAGATTTTGTGGAGAAAATATTACTGATAGAGATATATTGGGAAAAACATTCACCATGTTTTATGCCTCTAATATAGTTTTAGAACAACAATATCGAGAAAGGGATTTCAATAAATATTGTGATCTTATTACTTGTCTCCTTATGCTGAGCAGAATAACGAATTATTATTGAAAAATCACGAGTCGAGGCCAACTGATGCAAGTTCATTCCCTGAAGTGAATGCGATTTAGTGTTTGAATAATATGCTAGATTCTGCCGCGGACGAGTTCGCGGACAAGGCCATGGAAATGGATTTAGTCATGGACGTGGATATAATCGTGGACGTGGTTGTGGCAGGTTTGTTTCGCATTACTATCGTGAGAGACATTTGAATGAACATGAATCAAATAGGCCCTTTAAACGGCCTCAGAATGATATTGGGCAAAGTTCAAAGAAAATCGATGATAAGTGTTATCGTTGCGAAATGACAGGACATTGGTTCAGAAAATTGTCGTTCCAATTCTTATTTCGATGACTTGTACCAAAATTCCTTGAAATAGAAAAATGAAGTATCTGAAGATGTTAAAGCACCGGAAAATATCAATCCTCCGGTGATTAATTTTTCAGAAAATATTGTCAATGGTAGTGAGGGTGATAAATGTACTGATAATACACAGTTAAATGTATCTAATTTTCTAATACACCCTGAAGGTGGATACTATGAAACCAAGGGTGGCTGCTTCTAGGCAAACTTCTTGGCTGTCTCTGCACCCCTACCTCCTTTATCACTGAGCGATCACCAATTCCCGAAATGCCTTTCTGGATATTCCTCAATGTCCCGGCTATTCACGGAACGTGAGCTTCCGGAAGAAATCGAAGCATTTCTTGGGAATCCTACAAGATCGGTTCGTTCTTTTTTCTCTGATAGATGGTCAGAACTTCATCTGGGTTCGAATCCTACTGAGAGGTCCACTAGAGATCATAAATTCTTGAAGAAACAACAAGATCTTTCTTTTGTCCCTTCCAGGCGATCGGAAAATAACCTGAAAGTACGATATAATAGTGTACACTTACAGATATGTCTATATTTTTTTAATTCATGTACTTTTTGCTCCCTATATTTTGTAATAATATTACGGCTATGTATTTTCTCCAATTTTTTATATAAATATTTTTATATTTCTCCCAGAAGAAGAAATATGAATGTTGAGCACGCTATAATGAATAATATGGAAGACAATTCATGTCTCATTGATAATGCATCAACACACACCATTTTGAAATACTACCTTCATCCCATAATAAAAGTACCATGAGCTTTTTGCATGTTGATATTGAATATTAATTATTATATCAATACGTAGTCCAAATCAAAAGAAAATTGCAAAAATACCTCTATTAGTCTCATATAATACAAATACAATGATATTTGTTGAGTAAATTATACAAACATAATGATATTTTTAACGTTAAGTACAATGACGCAAATGAAAAATGTTGCCCCTTTTATGGGACGGGGGTAGTATAAGAAATATTTCACCAACCTGAAGTTGAGAAAAATTGAAGTGAATACTATAAGTGGTTGTGCGAAATTAATTGAGGGCTCTGGAAGAGCAATAATATTTCTCCCCGAAGGAGTAAAACTTGATATCCAAAATGCACTATATTCTAGTAAATCTCAAAGAAATTTGTTGAGTTGTAATAATCTTCGTAGAAATGTATATCATATTGAGACATCAAGTGAGACAAATAATGAATTTTTGTTGATTACAAAATTAATTGATGGACATAAATATATTAGAAAAATTATCTTCATTGTCTTCCGGGATTATATTACACAAAGATTAACGCAATTGAAACATATCTAGTAGACCAGAAGTCTATAGATTTTATGATTTGGCATGACCAGTTTGAGCATCCCAGTAATACTATGATGAGACGAATTATTGAAAATACCAATAGTCATAACTTGAAAGATCAAAGGATATTAAATACAAATGAGCTTAAATGTGTTGTTTGCTCGAAAGGGAAGTTAATAACTAGACCATCACCAGCAAAAGTGGAAATAAATCCCCTTCATTTTTAGAACGAATTCAGGGTAATATATTTGGGCCTGTAGATCCACCATGCAGACCATTTCGATATTTTATGGTACTTATCGATGCATCTACTAGATGGTCGCATGTGTGTTTATTATCCACTCGCAATTTGGCGTTTGCAAGGTTGCTTGCTGATAACTCTTGATTTTGTTATATTTTATAGCTTACATTTATTTAATTAATTATTTATTTATGTCAAATTTTGGTATTATTTATGTTAATTTACTCTAATAATTGTATTTATTTCATCTTGTGTGTATAATATTAATTTATTAGTTTTTAGGTGTAATTTATAATTATTTGGTGTATAATTTAAATTAAGTGATGTGTTTCTTGAATTATATTTTTAAGCATTATTTATGTGCTATTTAAGTATTTAATTTTGGCTAGATTAATTTTATTTATTATTTACTTGAATAAATATTTGTAAGGTGTTTATTATTTATACAGGTGAAATAATGCTTGAAAACCTGTTTGAGAGTTCCAAAACTGGCTTTCAAAAGCGAAAATGGCGGCTGGCGCGGACTCCGTGAGCGGCAGCTGCACGGAAATATGAGCGGAGTGGAAATCTGTATGAAAGTGAGCGATGACGGTTATGCAGAAAACAAGCGGTGGCTGCATTAAATCCGTCAAACCTTCCTCAGCTTCTGCATTTATTCCAGTCACCCTGCATTTATTCCGGCGCTCTCCCAACTCCCATATTTAATTCCTGCATAATCACTTATCCAATTTTTGGCAATTTTTGTAATATTTATTATAGAACATTCTAGAAAATAGGTAGTTTTTAATAAGTTATTAGTAGTTATATAAGTTGCTATTTTTAGAGGTAGTTAGTAGCTATTTTTAGAGGTAGTTATTTATTATTATTTTTAGAGGTAGTTAGTAGTTATTTTTAGAAGTAGTTTTTTATGGGCAGTTGTAACCGCGAAGCTTCTAGAAGCTTTTCCCCCTATAAATATCCCCTTTAAATACCCATACACACCATATATACACAATAATATACATTCCATACACTCCATTTTCTCCATTTCTTTTCTCCCATATTTTTATCTAGTTTAATAATACGAGATTTTCGGTTTTGTGTCGCGAGCAAACTGATTTTCTCCCTTTTTTTTATTTTTTCTTTTAATTCCTGCATATTATTTTAGCTAGTAAAATTCTATCATATTTCTCCACCTCACATTCACCTAAAAATCCCATGTTCGATTTGAATTGTTCAAGTTGAATTTCGACAAGGTTGCAGAAGGGCGGTAGAACAATCGACTATTTCAGCCCTGTTTCGTGTCACAAACAGATTCTGGGTAGTTCAACGTAGCTAAGTACGCGAGAGCTTTGTCGATCTGCTTAGTTGCTGTTCTGAATTCAACTCCGATTAAAGAGAGGTATCAGAGGGGTAGAGTCACTAGCGGAACGGTTGGAAGAATAATTCATGGGGCATAGGCGGTGGTCTATTGGGTCATAAAAATTTCTAGTGACAGTAGAGTTTCTTGCTTATAATGTTTTTCGCCGGGTGTCGCTGAAGCCTCGTTGTAAATCCCCTAAGGTCGAGTACCAACAAAGTCAAGAATCGGCTTAAGCGAGCAAATGCGATCACGTTCATTCCTTCGAGCCGCCCCGCAATTATACATATATTTTTCACTATTACGCCATCGTCATCCCGCTTATTTCATCCATGGAAGTCTAGCTATTAAGGAACGCAAAAGTCAGACATAAACGCCTCGCTTCATCCTTTTCGAGATACATATATTTTATCGCTTTTTAGTTAGATTTAATTTCTGCAATTTATCTTTTCAATTTCTTTGATTGCATTAACTCATTGCACTTTTTCTAATTA